TAGGTAAAACAACCAAGAGACTGGTGGAATTTAACCTCTGTTTTGAGAGTGTGTATTTAATAATCCATTCCCTTGTGTTCTTTGTATGAATATCTACTTTGCTGTTTGTGAATTAACAAGTTCTGTAACATCCTCCCAAAATACTGTCTTGTGTCTGGTCTTGAGGACGAAACAAAAAATAGCAGTTTTAGCAAAGTTCTGTCAAATGAATACTATATGTCTTGAACTGGATCGTACCATGTTAGAGGCGAAGAAGAAATTAAATTCCTTCTTCTACCTCTGGATTGTTTATTGATTTATCCTTTCCCCCTTAACACATCAGTTTGCATTCTAAATCACAAAAAGACAAAATATATGGTTTTAAAAAAATACATACAAATGACTGGGGTGTTTTTTTCTCAATAATCCAATATTTCTCGTTCGTCACATCCTCTTGCCTACAGTATACGCTAGAGTAAATGTGACTGTGTTGTGTGTACCCCATTCTGCGGACCCCTGGGAAGTGTCCCACATGAGCCGCTCCAGATGTTTCTTCCAGATTGCGAAGTGCTGTGTGTGCGCGCACTGCCACGACATAAGAGCGCGCGCATGTACTGTTTACGCCCGTGCAATCTTCCAATTACAGATGGGGTAAACTGTTGATGTAAAGGCAACTCAAGCTAACATTAACAGGCCTGGCAGAGGGACTAAGTGCACTTCAGAGCTCCAAACACGCTGTAATGTCTTTCATGAGGGCGCGGAACACTTAGGATGTGCCCGCATGCGTACCAAAGGTATAGATGTGACCGCAAATGTCTCTTTTTGCGGGTTTGTAATGACTGCGAAGATCAAAATGAAACACCAAAATGTAGAGTTGTTCCTTGCCGATACAGGAGGGTCCAAGGACAGTGGCGATGATCCAGGACACTCGACATTCTACGATATTTATGGACTTTATCAATATTTATTGACATTGGTCTTCTGCCCCTTATGGACCAATTGTGTTTGATTTTCTGATCTGTCCTCCCAGATAACTACCGCTGTGATTTAGAGCTATACAAAAATACATTGAATTCAATTGAAACATGATTCTATCCAATGTCTTACCCTATACTGCATAAACTATGAATACTGATTTATGAATGAACTTTACCTTATTGTGGGCCTTCACAGGTAAACATGGCACTGAGACAGGGTGCGTGGCAAGAGATTGGAGCAAGGCCTTTCTGAGTCGACAATAGGTCTGGCATGCGCCTCCTGTACGGCAAACCCGCTCCCATCTCTGTGTGGAGTGAGTGACAAATGCCCACAATTGTAATGCGTTTTGTGAAAGGCTCTATATAAATAAAGATTACTCACTTACTTATATCTAGTGTGCACAATCTGCTCGATGTTGTTTTGTGGATGTGTTGTTCGGTAACATCACAGGCAAAGAAAAGAGGGCTCTAAACAAGGTGCTCCGCTCTGCAAAAAGGACTGTGAGCTGTCTGTTCTGGAGGTTATTTATGAATCCAGGCTCTTAAATTGAGCTCAACTTTTGCTACTTTTGGACATGTGTTCCAATGTGGTTTTATTGAAAATGGCAAAGAAACTGAATCTGAATGTCTTTTTTGAGATTATACAGACTTTGCAACGTTGTTTCCAAACCTGGAGCTGTTTTGGTTCCATACATACGTTTTTCAATCAGTCCAATAACTGCAGCTTTATCAGAAAACTAAAAAAGCTCATTATGAACCGAAAGATTTTCACTTGACAGTCAGAGTTTCCATGTTTGGTGTCTCGTCTGAAGATATATACTTTGAGTTGTGTATTTGCATGCAACATTTATTCCTTTGCATATCCTAACCCTGCCCTTAACCCATTTATAAATAGATTATGCACACATTATTCATATTTATTCTACATGAGAAATGAATTAACATCACAAAACCTGACTAGTCGTTCAAAATTCTGCTGCGAGGCTTTTGACCCGCACCCACAGGAGAGCCCACATTACTCCTATTCTAGTGTTGACATTCAGGGCTCTTCAGAGGAGACGTAATCACTGTAAACCCTAAATTCAATCTTACTTCAGATATCATAGTTATTTTAAATAGATTTTTCCCAGTAAGTGAATATTACTCATTTATTGTTAGTTTATTTAAAGTTCGGCTATATCACTCAGGGTTTCCATTGAATTGAACTGTCTGTTCAAGTGAGCCTCACTTTTGACATTTTGACGTGTAGAGTCTTTAATAAAGCAGGTATACCGTAGACAGGGTGGCCCGGTGGCTGAGTGGGTTTCACCATCACCTTTCAACTGCTAGAATCTAAGTTCAAATCCCAGCCGGAGCATAAGTTGAAATTTAATATTTATTTCAACCACTTGAGTTTACTTGGTGATATCAAGTAAAGGTTGTACTCCAAGAATTCCAGTGAAGTTAATATGCAATTTATTTCCATGGTTTTTTCAAGTAAACTTTACTTGTCAGGGTTTACAGATCCTTCCAGGCAGTTGCTCCTCACCTTTGGAATGAGCTTCCCCATTCTCTGCGCTTGTTAGAGACTGTCGATGATTTTAAGTCCCAACTTAAAACACATTTGGTTAGACAGGCTTTCTCGCCTCACTGTTCATAGGCCTCTGTGAATTGTGCAAACTGTGTTTTTCTGTGTTTTTGTTTTTAAATCTAACTTGTATGTGTATTTTATGTGTTTTAATGTGTGAAGCGCTTTGTGATCCTGGTTTGTGAAATGCGCTATACAAATAAACTTTACTTACTTACTTACATGCCAAAGTAAAACACCAAGCCCAGATCAAATGGGGCCAAACTTGACACACAAAGCATACATGTACGTATATAAGCTCACGCATTAATTCATTCATTCAAGTCATACTGTCCATATCACTGAAATCCATCCACAAAAACAGTATAAACATGAATTAATCTATATATATTATTACACAATTTCGTTTATGAAATCATGTAAAAGCCATAGATTTTGTATTAGTTTATGGTTTTGTATAATTGTGTTCATGCAGAGAGCAGTGTGATCTTAAGCTCTCCACTCAATTACATCTGCAGAGTAAACGCTGCCTTTGTCCCTTTGTGTTTGTCACAGTGGAATGCCGGTGTGAAGAGCCTCTTGACCTTTGAGCTCATTAGTCCTGACCGCAGCGGCCTCCATTAGCACCTGCAGTCAGGCCTGTCCCACCCATGTCCAGCCCTGTCCTCTGTCCACCTGCGAGCCACACCACTCTCTCCTCTTCACAGGCAGAGTTGGGAGTAACACATTATAGATTATGTCCTCTGTTGTATTTATTGTATTGTTGTGTGTATGTTTTTATTCATTTTATTGTTGTATTTTTACATATGTATAGAGATAATTGTTTGTATTTTATTTAATTTAAATTGATGCTATTTTATTTTAATTGTTTTTATTCTATTTAATTGTTTTTATTTAAATCTGGCATACTTGGATACCAGCTTATACATGCTGGTATATTTGGACGTGTTACTTTTATCTGCTATATATTTTATGTGTAATATAAATAAAGTGGATTGGATAACGGCACTTTTTATTATATATTTATTATATCCCTCTTTGTTGAAATTATGGCAATATAAAGTCAGAGAAAATAGCTTGCAAACATGTGTCTTTAGTGTCAGTGTGGTTGCATACTTATACACTTGCTTACGAACTCGAAGGGACAGCAAAATGATGCGACCCTCACAGATACTGTAACTGTGGTCACTTGTCACGTTGGTCGTGAGGCTTCAAACAGCGGCTGGATTGGTCCAGATGTTGGAGAGCGCCTCCATCAGACTCTGTGTGGTAAAGAGCGGGTTTTTTAACAATACAGTTCTCAATGCTCACAGGACAAAGGGCAGCAACATGTCTTTTTTTGGACTGTGCTTGGCCCTCATATCTAAATCCCACTGAGGACCTTTGGAGATAGAGAGAAGTTTATAAAAACAGTCAATGGTCGTCTTCATCACTGTTCTCACTCACCTCCTAGAAACACTTGCATCAGACATAATGTTTTCAGGTTTTAAGTGACCCACAACAGTTGTGGAGCTTCAGTACGTGTTTGGTACTTTGGGTCTGTAGGAGATTTTAAGGTTTATTTATAAGTGCAGTCGAAGATAAGTTGAGAAAACCTTTATTCGTCCCACTGTGGGGAAATTTCAATGTTGCATCGCACACATTTTATTCTTTTATTTATTTTGAATGTGCACAATAATTTGTTTGAACGTCGCCAAATAACTTGTACCTGGTTCAAAAAGGGGTTGGATGAAGCAGATGCTGTTTGGATTCCATTATTCACTGTTTTACTAATATCATGCTGTAGAATTCTCAAATATACAACTGTACATTACAAACAGTAATACAATACTATCACCGATAAGACAGAAAGAGCTCACAAAATATACAACATAAGTAGCTGCTATGCTTCAACATCAATTGTTAATTAAATAAATTGTGTGTTTTCGGTCTCACTCTTATTCCTTCCTTTATAAGATCAAAACATTCAAAATATATATACGTTGCCATTTTTGAAGTGGGCGTACATTTTTGATTGTGTTTTTGGGGGTGTATAGTGCAGTTAACCGTTACAATGATGAAATTCTCAAATAATCACTGCTGCCTTTGTTATTATAAAAATGGCGCTGTGGCAAAAGCTCTGGTGTGTACCATCCTGGTGCAGACTTGGGTAGTCTTGCTTAGTTTTTCCAATGTGGTTTTACTGCAAAAGACAAATACATTCTTGAATCTTGGAAACAGTGTTTTTCAATTCTCTGAAGGAGCAAAAGATGCATCAGGAGTAAAGATCGCCAACCAAGTCATTCAGCGTTATGAGGTTTATCTTTTGCCGATAGTCCACCTCTGCGCACAGGCCAAATAAACACTTGTCCAATCGCAGAGTCGGTCTATCCTGGGAACCTGGCCCAGGAGCCGTTTGAAGCCAGCTGTCACAACCTGACAGGCTGTTGTTTTAGAGGCCGCGTACGCTTCGAGAGGGGAGAAAAACAACACCAGGAATGTGTACAAGTCAGGACCCAACAGTAAATCCTGCCCTGCGCTTCCTCCGAGCCCGACAGGAGAGGGCCCTGGCTCTGTGGAGAGGTCCCCCGTCCCAAGGCAGCCTCTCATCAGCACCACTCCCCCTGTTCCAGCCGCAGCAAGACAAGCTGTTGGTGTGTGGATGGGAGCTTTTTACTTTCTGTTTAGAAGAAAACGAACACATTTCCACAAGACACAGCTTTGACTCCACAAGACTTTATTATGACAAAACTTTGTCTTAAAAAAGTTTGTGTACAAGAGAAATGATGCAAAATCAGCCCTATCCACATATCTGGCACAAATCGTAAAAAAACATGCACTGTCCCTTCCTATTTTGACGTAAATCCGCCCGTTTTCTGCTTCTTAGACCACTGCAAAAACTGATAAATGTGTAAACATGTCTTATGCAAAGGGTGGTATCTTTTAGTTACTCTTTCCGTGAGACTTTTTATGAATACCAACAAGTACCAAGAAAATATAATCAGTCGTATACTTTATACTATACTTGTTTATAATACTTTTTTCATTTATTTTTGGGGAATTATGTTAGATTATTGCGTGCCTGTAAGTAGATCATGTCTTATATTTGAAACTACCAAATGTAATTCCCCTTTCTACCACTGTATGGGAGCGTTGCACATTCAAATAAACATTAACTCAAATTTGTCCATATTATTCATATCTTTTCTAATGACTGCACTTTCTTAAACATGAAATACCCCCCCAAAAGTCCTCAAGATCATGTTAAAGGGATGACATGAACACTGATAATGCGTGGTGTTTCTGAAGATGGTCTGGGTACATGAAGGCCACAGCGGCGCCTGTATAGCTGCTCTATCCCTCATCCTCTCTGCAGGACCCTGTGACTGTTCTCACACATTAGGCTCTGTGTTAAGGAGGCTCCGGAGCCACATTCACTGACCCCTCTGACATACATCACCCAGCACCGCAGCGTCCCGACTCCTCCACGGCCTTTGAACGCATCATGGGTCACTGCACCGACTGCCCACTCCCACCCGAGCCCGCCAACCGTCCCGCGGGCCCCACAACGGAAAAGCCAACAAGTCATTTTTACACCCCACTCTCAGATGGGACGCATAGCAGCGGTCGTGGTCCTCTCACATGTGGTTCTCGTGGTGTTCTGAGGAGAAACGTGCAACAAGATGTGATTGCTTAAAGTGAAGAATGAAAGAAGAAATGCGGTGGAAATGACTAAAAGGACGTTATTTCTTTATATAGTTGTTCAATTAATCAACAACAGACCTGGGGCTGTTTTTGGCATAACATTTACCCCACCCTCTCCGTCTAAACACTCCTCACACGTCATGTACAGAGCAGTTTTCTCCCATTTTAATATTTTTTCCTCTAAATTGTTTTTGGGACGGACACGGTGGACTGAGTGGGTAGCACTCTCGCCTGCTCAGCAAGAAGGTCCTGAAGGTTCAAATCCCGGCCTAGACCAGGGCCTTTCTGAGTGGGAGTTTGCATGTTCATCCCCGTGTCTGTGTAGGTTTCCTCCGGGTATACTCCGGTTTCCCCTACCACTAACTAAAATATATGTACAATAGGTCTGGCATGCGCCTCCTGTTCGGCGAATCCCACTCCCATCTCTGGTCTGGAGTGAGAGGGACAAAGGCCCAAAAAAATAGTTAATATACAATTGTAAACCGCTTTGTGACCCTTGGTCTGTGAACAGCCGGTATAATTAAATAAACATTACTTACTTACTTACTTACTTACTTTGGGAAAGCGTTTAACAATTAGCAAATAATGCAATTATTTAAGTCTATTGCAAGCACAACATTTGCACAAAAGCAACAGGACGGACTCTTGCATAAGCATCGCTATCCTCCAGCTTAGAGAATGATATGCTGCAAGTGTAAACCGTGTATTCCGTGAAAACAAGACCTTTGAAGCATATGTACTGTATATAATGGCACTCCTGGAACCGAGCATGCGCTGCCCAAACCAGTCATTTCTTGCATGTTTAAGCTCCAACTGACCGACTTCCTCCTCTGCCAGCGGATCCAACTCACAACGGGTGGTGATCGGTTGACAGCTCCGCCCTTCTCTTTACCCAAGTGTCCGAGACACGGGGCCAAAGGTCAGATGACACAACAACAAAGGCGATCACCGACCTCCGGCCCAGGAAGTCCTGGAGCCACGTGAGCTGGTGGACAGGCTTCTGCTCCTTGCGCTAAAACATGGTGTTTGTTAGAGACAGACTGTAGCATAGAAGTCAAATAACTGAACACCGCCCGATCCGATTGCTATTCCTGATCACCCTCCAAGTGTCACTGGCGTTAAAGTACCCCAGGAGTCCCTGGGAGGGGCACTATCCAGTACCTCTCCCACGGACTCCAAGAAGGACGGGTACTCTGCAGTACTGTTTGGCCCGTAGGCCGCCCCAACAGTGAGAGAAGAATTGCTGCTCACATGGGGGCAATGAGTAAGCCCATCCCTGCTGTTTAATCTAAAATCTTACATTATCCCACATGTTTCATTAAGTCATGCCATTATTTACTTGTAAACCGTTCTATGCTTTTTCCCTTCTCCAGGACGGGGTGGAGCTGGTGGAGTCTACCCCTAACCTTTGCCCTGACCCGTGGGTATATCCCTTTAGCGCACAGCAGATTTGAGCTCTCGTCGCGCTCTTGGGGACAGCACCAAGAGAAGCTCAGGGGCCTTGTCTTCGCCAACATTTGACAGCTCATATTTTTCTGCACAGATTCGCCACTTCCAAGCGGAGGGATAACGTTACGAGCGCGGCGGAGCGGGCCAGCTGTTCAAACAAGGTGATTAATTGAAGGAATTTGGTTTGTAAAACAATCTCGCTGCGCTGCTTCTCGCTCTCCGTGCCTCGCTCTTGCGTCATCGCTCATTCGCACTTTCAGACTTTTTTTCGTTTTCGCGTGCGTCCTCGGATCCAGATGTGACCAAGGAGTTACCAAAGCAGAGATGTTGACAGAGAGAAATGTAGGAAGTAGAAGGCCTGTGTCTTTTAGGGACATTGTTGGTCACACTTGCTCAGCTTTATATGGACTTCAAGAAAATGTATTAAATTTAGGCCCTTAAACATGATCTTGAGAATTTTTACACAGGCATTTCATGTACACGCAAATTTCACCACTGCGGGACGAATAAAAGATCTCTTATCTTATCTTTACACACTTCTTCCACCAGAGGGTCATGTTGAATTTCCTTTTTTCAAAATCAAGCATGCCACAAAACACAGCCACACATCAGCATGGTGAATATAAAAAAACAACAGCAGTCGTCTTGAAGACCCTCAAACAAATGTTTATTCGCCAGCATAATACAAACACATATTGTAACCACAAAACCCCAGAGGCACAGGATAACAGGTTAGCCAGTGTTCTTACCCCTCCTGCATCGGAAGTGGGAGAAACATAGGAACCTGAGGGAGCAGTAGGAATGCATGCTTTTTATTTGCTTTTTCTGTCCGATGTGTGCACAGCTCTGCATGCCCATATGTTTTCCTGCAGCCGAAGAGCACTGTCTACTCTATAAATACTATATGTCTTTGGCTTGACCGCATGTGTATATTGTTTCCAGGGAAACCGGGAGTATAGGCATGTTCTTTACGAGCTCATGTCCTGTCCGTGGAGCAGGTGAGTTCTGCCTTTGCCAAGTTTCTTCCTCTGTCTCTCAATCTTATTTTCTTTTCTCAGTCTGTGCTCCTCCCTCTTTGTCTCTTTGTGACTGTGACCCCAGCAACGGAAAGTAGCTGTTGATTGTGTTGTAATGCTTGTTCTATAAAGAGGATTTTCATAAGAGAAAAAACAGATCATATTCAATTCACTAATTTGTTCATGGGGCCCCATGCAATCACCATGTTCTGTACCCAATATTCAATGTGGCATGGGGAGGGGAGGGGTGGAACGTCAGTGAGGAACCAAGTGCATAGTACAGCACAATAACAGGATACAAACTGCAGGTGGTGAGGTAAATATGAAGGGTAGGCGGATGTATTGTTTAGGTTATGGAGGGGTGGTGATTGGGTTGTTGGGGTTTTGACATTTTGTTATGTGGGTTTTGATGTGGTAAGTTGTAATTGATGGGGTGATTGGTGTTGGATGTATGGAGTTATATGGTTTTGGATTTGTAATGTTTTAAGGGGGGTGGAGTGGGGGAATGTTGGGTATGGGGTAATTTGGGGATGTTTGGGGGTGATGGGGAAATGTGGTTGTGGGGGGGTGGGAGTGGTGAAGTGGGGTGTGAGGGAGGTTTGTTGTGGGTTGTTAGGGGGTGGAGTGGGGGGTGGTGGTTGGGGGTGAAGGAGGTGGGTGGGTTGGGTGGATGTGTGGGGGAATAGTTTTGAGGTTTTTTTGTTGTTTGGTGGGTTTAGTGTTATGTTTGGATTGGTGGGTGATTGTTGGGTTGGGGTTGGAAGGGGGTGTTTGTTGGGGGGGGGGTTTTAGTGGGTGGTAGGTTGGGGTAGGGGTTGTGGTGGGGGGTTGGGGGGGTAGGAGGATGGGGGAGGGGGGAAAGGGGTGAGGGGGGGGGGGATGTGGGTGGGGTGTTTGTGGGTGGGGGGTGGTTTGTTGTTTGGTTGGGGGGGGGGTTTTTGTGTGGTTGTTTTTGGGGTGGTGGGGTGGGGGTATTTTTTATTTTGTGGGGGGGGTGTGGGTGGGGGGTGTTTTTTTTGGTGGGTTTGTGGTGGTGGGGTTGGGGGGTGGTGGGGTGTGGTGGGGTGGGGGTTGGGGGGTGTGGGGTGGGGGGGGGGGTGTGGTGTGGGTTGGGTGGTGGGTTGGGGGGGGTGGGGGGTGGGGTGGTGTTGGGTGTGGTGGAAGAGGGTGGAATAGAAAGAAATGAGGAGAAAGAAGGGGGGGAGGTGGTGGGATGGGGGTTGGGGGGAGAAATGTTGAAGATATTGCGGACGACCAATGTCTATAAATGTTAATAAAAGTCTTAAATTTTTTTTTTTAATGTCCTTAGACCCTCCTGCATTGGGAAGGAACCTTAAGGACACCATTTATGTTCTTCACAAAACATGTACCATTGTCTGATAAATGCAGAATATATATTTCCCAACGTTTACCTCTAGATGGGGGTGTTTTACTAATCCTTTTGTTTTTTCCTAGTCATTATGAAACTGTATAATTTTCAACTTAAAGCTTGAGTATCTAACTTTCAAACCACAAAATAATGACAATGAAATCCATGTACTTATAGTTCCCAGTCTTAAATCCATGAGATGATTTGGTTTGATCACATGCATGTATTTTTGGCCTCTGTCACATCTTTAGATCAGTTTTTCAGACATAAAAGTGAAAAAGAGAGGACTATCACGCTCTTTCTTATAAGTATGTTTTACAATAAGAGAAAGAGAGTATGTTGTGGTCACATTTGTTCACAATATTTTACTTTTATAAGACTCTGACTTTGACAAGCAGCATGTGTTATACATTGGGGAAAAGGTTTGATGCTTGAAGCTTTTAGTTATTGAAGTGTAATAACTCCGCTTATGTACATCTTTGGTCTTCATAACTTTGTGACCTATTCTGTTTCCATGGGTAGTTTATTTCTGTCATTATTTTGTTTGTGACATTTTCTTTTAGTTTTGAAATGTGAGGAGTTCTATCTTTGAAGGGTTAGTCCTGATTTTTATAGGAACACACTGTTTACCGTCAGCAGTTAGCATTTGGTCTTTCAACAAATTGTTTTAGCACATGGTAAAAGTGAATAGAGTCAAAAAGACCTTGAAAAGACTTGAAAAGTTTCTCATTTTTCCATTGGTTTGAATGGGAGCAGTCAAAACTAGTAGCACTAGTTTCATAATTGTGGGAGTCAGATTCACATTCAGATTCATTCAGATTAATTTGATTTGCCATTTGCAGTAAAACCCCCTTTGGAATACATTTGCAAAAGTTAATAAAAAATAAAAAATAATTAAATTGCAGGAAACAAATGACATTGAAGAACTAAAACAGTTTCAATACAAAGGTAAGATTATTAAAGGGCTATGTTTAAACTGAAAACAGATTTTGGATGGAAGCTGGGTTAAATGAATGGGTCAAATGAACTAATCTTCCAATATTGCATATATCTAGGCAAACCCACACACCCCCTCGTCAGTCACCCCTGGTAGCTGCAACCGCCCCACGTCCCGTGACCCTGCCTTAATTCTTTCAGCAAGTCCCCATTTCGCCGCAGATGTTGCTCGGCAGACACAAGCCAGACCCCTCATAGAAATAGTTTGAGAAAGTCCCGCTTGGCTCTTTTTTGCTTGTTTGGGAGTTGGAGGCGAGTGCGCGGCCGTGTGTGCATCGGCATAAAGGGCCAGCTCCCCTCTGGCTCCCCTCTGCGCTCTCACATCTGGGCTGGGAGGGTCATGGGAGGGGGAGAGGGGTGAGGGGGGGGGTGAGGTGTGGTTCACAGTGGTGGCTCGTGACATCTGCTCAGCTGTAATGTTGCGTGTTAGGATGAGAAATATTTTTGCCGTGGTGAAGTTCCTATCAGCTGTTAAAACAATACGCTGTCATCTGAGGTTTTTCTGGATGTAAATGACGTCATCGGATTGGATGCATATGTCATCGGCCGTTATTAAGCTGGGATGCCTTTGTTTTTTATGATTTGTCAATGTAGTTTGTGCAAAAGTAAGGTTGTCCAAAAATTAAAGGTTAAAAAGACCACAACATACATACTTGCAAGAAGGAGCTCTGTGAGATGAAGCCTGCACAGATTCAGTCTGGTAGACTACCTGCTGCAGCCCATCAAAGCCAGACCTTCACCCTCGGCCAATCACACAGCACTGCCAACTTATGACAATTAACCAGCTGTTTAAAAGCGGAAACTTCCCAACAACTATCTCTTTTCCCGAGCCTCGCAGGGATTTGTTCTGGAGTCATGTTCATCTACTCAGGTCTCTCAATCCCCACCTTCCCGCCTCCTCCTCCATCTTTGCGTCTGTGTAGTCTCTCCAGATTGAATCATTAATTTTTGCTTTGATCTGATTGGCTGAGTGAGGGTGGACCTCTCTGTTCTACTTTTCTGTCTGAAAAAACCAGTGATACAACCAAATTGTGTTCAGTGGAAGATTCATTGACCTCCATGTCTTTCTCTTCAACCAGCCTCACTTTCTTTCCACTCCCAAATTACCCAGAAGTCTCATTCAACCTTCCCCCATGCCAGATAATGTAGCCCCCGCACCTCGAGTCTCACCCAGCTCCAAGAAGCTTCACTTTAATTTTTTTTTTTTCAGCTATTATTTTCAATATACAGCAACTTTTAAACCGCATTCGATTACTGTGACATGGTCTGTGCCAGAACCCACACAAATGAGCAAGAATGTTGACAACGCACTGGTATAAACCGAGTCTGAATGGTGTTTTGAGCTTATAGTAGGAAATATTACATACAATGGGCCTCATCTATGAAAATTGCGCAGAAAAAGGTGTACATTTTGGGTGTAGATCCCAGATACGCAAGATCTGACGTGGCATTTACAGTATGAACGTGTGAGATACGCACAGATCTGAGCGTACGCACCTGCGGCTGTTGATAAATGCCGCGCTCAAAACCAGCGTATTTATGAAAGTCACTCCTAGAAATATTCAGAAACTGCCTGTTCCACGCCCTGTTTTTGCGACAGGTCAGCAGGAAGCCGCAAAAAGCACGCACTTTTGAGTTTATTCATGATTTTAAAAATATACGCTATATTATATATACACTTTTTTCCCCTAGTGTTTACACCCACTGCAGCACTCATCTCTCCTAAAATTTCGACGTAAATAAATAAATAATAAATTACCTGAATTAATTAATGAACTATACTGCTGGTGCGCGTGGCATCCTATCTCTGCTCTGCGGAGTTAAAGGCAGGATGAGACAGCTTTGAGCAAGATCAGGTGCATTTATGGGGCTTTATGCACAAAACTTGCGAGAGCGTTTGCGGTCCAGATTTCACAGAGAAACTCTGGAGCCAAAACTTCTGAATGACAGCATGTGAGGAGTTCTGTGGCGCGACCTCATGGCACCTGCAGCGGGTGGACAGGGCAGTGAGACATTTGGAGTGAGCAATGCCATAGTCCATCGGTCCATGCGTTAATGGGGTGTGTGTCTGTGTGAGGCTTACACATATCTAATGAAAACATGCATTGCTTTACCAAATGTATATTTGGTTTAACTTAAGGATAAAAATTGCTGGCGATTTAAGGTTCGAATGCGGATATGAGGACCTGCAATTGGCTGGGTCAACCACAATGTAGGCAGGTTATAGTGTATTGTATTGTGAATTTTGATATGGTAGGATTTATGATAGAATAATAATTAATATAAGGGTGGTGGGATTGGTATGTGTGAGTTGTGAATTAATGGGGATTGGAGATTTTATTATTTATATTTTAGTCGTCAGGGTAGGGGTACCCAGCTATTGCTGGTGCAGCTTCTGCCGCTGCGTAAGGTAAGCACAGCTATTTGTATTCCTTTTGGGAGACAAAATATACATTTGGTAAAGCAATGCATCGTTTTTCCATTAGAATATGTGTATGCCTCACACAGACACACACCCCACTTAACGCATGGACCGATGGACTATGGCCGTGGTGCTCACATCCACACATGTCTCCACTGCCCTGTCCACCCCGCGCAGGATGCCATGCGGACGGCCGCCACAGCACACTTCTTCACATTGCTGTCCATTCAGACGTTAATGGACTCCAGAGATTTCACAGTGAACTCTGGACCGCCCCCCGCTCTCGCAAGTTTTTTGAGCATAAAGCCCCCCCATTTACAACAAAGCACCCTGGCTCCTAGCTCAACACGCCTGTCTCACTCCTGCCTTTACCTCCGCAGAGCAGGAGATGACGGCATGGCCACGCGCACCAGCCGTCTAAGTTCATTACCATTCACTTCAGGTACTTTATTCTAGTATTATAATATACGTCGCCATCTATAGGCGCGAAGAGTGCCTGCCGAGGGTGTAAACACTAGGGGAAAAAAGTGTATATATAATTATAGCGTAAATCATTTTTAAAATCAGTGAATCAACTCCAAAAGTGCGTGACTTTTTGCGGCTCTCCTGCTGAACCTGTTCGCCAAAACAGGGCGTGGAACAGGCAGTTGGCTGACCTATGTCTAGGAGTGACTTTCATAAATACCGCTGAGTTATGAGCGCGGCATTTAACAACACCGCAGGGTGCGTACGCTCAGATCTGTGCGTATCTCACCGTTCCATACTGTAAAATGCCACGTCAGATCTTGCGTATCTGGGATCTACACCCAAAATGTACACCTTTTTCTGCGCCATATATATCATAGATGAGGCCCCAATGGTCTGATAATATATTTCCAACGATAAGTCTCAAAACACCATATCCGACTCGGTTTATACCAGTTGCGTTGTCCACATTCTAGCTCATATGTGTGGGATTCTGGCACAGACCCATGTCACAGTCATCGAATGCGGTTTAAACAGTTGCGGTATCTAGGTGCAAATAAATAGTCTGCAAAAAAAACAAATTAACGCATGGAAGCTTATCTTGGAGCGGGTGAGAACTCGAGGTGCGGGGCCTACATTATTCTGGCATGGGGGCCGGTTGAAAGAGGACTTCTGGTGTACATTAGGGAGGGGCACGCACAGAGCGGCTAGGTTGCCGAGACAGACAATGGGAGGTCACTAGAATCTTCCCCTGCCCCCCATTTGGTTGTATCACAGGAATTTTATCAGGACAGAAAAGTAGAACCGAGAGGTCCCACCCTCACTCAGCCAATCAGATCAACAGCCAACATCAATGATTACCATCTGGCGAGACCTCCCCAGACGCAACGAAGGAGGGAGGAGGGCGGGGAATGGTGGGGCTGGAGAGACCCTGCAGTCGAAATAGACCATGACTCCAGAACCCAATCCCTGCGCGGCTCGGGACAAAGAGATCGTTGTTGGGAAGTTTCCGCTTTTAAACAGCTGTTCATTGTCATAAAGTAGGCAGTGCTGTGTGAATGGCCGAGGGTGAAGGTCGGGCTTTGAATGGGCGGCAAGCAGGATAGGCTACCAGAACTGCCTCTGTGCGAGGCTTCAATCTCACAGAGCTCCTTCTTGCCAGTAAGTATGTTGATGGTCTTTTTAACCTTATTAACTTTTGGCACCCATACACTTGCCACACTTTAGCACAACCTCCATTTGAACATCTCACAAAAAATCAAAGGCATCCCGCGAAAAAACGTGCCGATGAACCACCTGCCATCCAATCCGCTGGACGTCATCATACATCCAGAAAAAACTCAGATGCCAGCGTATAGTTTTGCACAGCTGAAGGAACTTCACCACGGCAACAAATATTTCTACATCCTAACACGCAACCATAACCCGTGACGCCGCTGTCGACGAGCCCCCACTGTGCACCACACCATCACCCCCCCCCTCACCGCTCACTCCCCCTCCCATTGACCCCTCCCAGCCCCGATGTGACGAGCGCAGCGGGGAGCCGAGGGGAGCAGGCCCATTAAGCCGCTGCCCACACACGGCCGCGCACTTCGCCTCCAACTCCCAACCCAAGCAACAAAAGAGCCACGCGGGACCTTTCTCCCCACTCTTTCTATGCGGGGTCTGGCTTGGTGTCTGCCGATGCAACATCTGTGGCGGCGCAATGGGGACTTGCAGACAGCCTGAAAGGCCAGGGTCACGTGCGGGGACGCGGGGCGTTGCAGCGAACCATGGGTGTGACTGGACGGAGGGGGTGTGAGGGTTGCCCTAGATCTAAGCCATATTGGTGCAGAGTCGATTCATTTGACCCATTCATTTAACCCAGCTTCCATCCAAAATCTGTTTTCAGTTTAAACATAGCCCTTTAATAATCTTACCTTTGTATTGAAACTGTTTTAGTTCTTCAATGTCATTTGTTTCCTGCAATTTAATTATTTTTTATTTTTTATTAACTTTTGCAAATGTATTCCAAAGGGGGTTTTACTGCAAATGGCAAATCAAATTAATCTGAATGAATCTGAATGTGAATCTGACTCCCACAATTATGAAACTAGTGCTACTAGTTTTGACTGCTCCCATTCAAACCAATGGAAAAATGAGAAACTTTTCAAGTCTTTTCAAGGTCTTTTTGACTCTATTCACTTTTACCATGTGCTAAAACAATTTGTTGAAAGACCAAATGCTAACTGCTGACGGTAAACAGTGTGTTCCTATAAAAATCAGGACTAACCCTTCAAAGATAGAACTCCTCACATTTCAAAACTAAAAGAAAATGTCACAAACAAAATAATGACAGAAATTAAACTACCCATGGAAACAGAATAGGTCACAAAGTTATGAAGACCAAAGATGTACATAAGCGGAGTTATTACACTTCAATAACTAAAAGCTTCAAGCATCAAACCTTTTCCCCAATGTATAACACATGCTGCTTGTCAAAGTCAGAGTCTTATAAAAGTAAAATATTGTGAACAAATGTGACCACAACATACTCTCTTTCTCTTATTGTAAAACATACTTATAAGAAAGAGCGTGATAGTCCTCTCTTTTTCACTTTTATGTCTGAAAAACTGATCTAAAGATGTGACAGAGGCCAAAAATACATGCATGTGATCAAACCAAATCATCTCATGGATTTAAGACTGGGAACTATAAGTACATGGATTTCATTGTCATTATTTTGTGGTTTGAAAGTTAGATACTCAAGCTTTAAGTTGAAAATTATACAGTTTCATAATGACTAGGAAAAAACAAAAGGATTAGTAAAACACCCCCATCTAGAGGTAAACGTTGGGAAATATATATTCTGCATTTATCAGACAATGGTACATGTTTTGTGAAGAACATAAATGGTGTCCTTAAGGTTCCTTCCCAATGCAGGAGGGTCTAAGGACATTTAAAAAAAAAAATTTAAGACTTTTATTAACATTTATAGACATTGGTCGTCCGCTTCTTATGGACCAACAACTCTATGTGTTTCTTAATAATCCATTTTATGTGTTTGAGCTGTTTGATTCTCTGATCTGTGTTGGTGAATCGACAACTTTGTAAACTCTGCCGGGGAGGACTTCCATTGTGATTCGGAGGCTATACCAAAATTAATCGTAATTGAATTTAATTAAAAGAATATTTCACATAGATTTTCTATACCTGCTCACATTATACCTGACTGGCAACCGTGGATTGGGCTGGAGCAGCGCACACAGAGCCTGCTAAAGCCCTCCTCTCCCCAGGCTTCTCTCCACCTCTGACCCGGAGCGCGGAGGTGGTGGGACAGGGCCTGATGGGAGTGTGAGGCCTCCATCTGTGCGCTGATAAACACTCCGCACCTGCACTCCTCACGACAACAGGAGGAAGAAGAGGGGAGGGGACGGGCAGACAGACGAGAGGCCAGTGGAGGAATGACTACTGCAAACGTCCAAGTCAAAGCACAGTTTTGTACATGGAAATAGACTCACTAACTTCTACTGCTGCTAAAAGTGCTCCTAACTTATTTTGTTTCATAATTAACACATGTCCCGAATATAGACTGTAAATAACATTTGTGGGGCCGCTAAAGAGTCAAACTATTGTTGTTTCTTTGGACAAGACAATAATAATGCATCGGTTTTATTCAGCGCTTTTCAGGACACTTCACATGTCATTATTTATTCACTCCATACACGGTGGTGATAAACTCCTACTGTAGCCACAGCTGCCAAGGGGCACACTGACAGAAGCGAGTCAACCAGTACAGTATGTGTACATGTAAAATGCAGTCAGTGGAAGGACTAGTTTTACAAAAAAATTAAGGTTTGGAGAAAAAAGGACTAGCAAAATGCAATTATTTGACATAATTGACTGTATGGTTGATAAGTTTAACGCAACTTAATAATTATTTTTCGATTGCTGAGAGGAAAAATCCTATGACTCAAATGAAGCAGTGAGGGAGCAAATTCATCCCTCAATGTGGGCCTCCCCGAGGTTTCTCATTTTCTCCCATTGGATTTTTAGAGGGAGGGTCTAAGAACAGTGGATACTCGATCCAGGATACTCGACATCCAACAACATTCATGGGCATTATCAACATTTATGTACATTGGTCAACTGTCCCTTCTGGACCAATAGCTCCATGTGTTTTCTGTCATTGCATTTTCTGTGTTAGAACTGATTGATTCTCTGATCAACTGCTTTGTAAAGTCCTCTGATATAACTTGTTATTTAGGGCTATACACAAATCATTGAAACACCCGCAGAAAGATCAAGGCTGCAGCCGTCCTGCTGTGGACTCATCACCTGCAGGGGGATCAGTGAGGGGCTGGTGCTCTGTGGGTCCAGCTCTGACTGTCACCCTCCAGACCCAGAAATGGATTAAGGGGAAGAAAATGGATGGATGAACAAATTAGTGAATTGAATATGATCTGTTTTTTCTCTTATGAAAATCCTCTTTATAGAACAAGCATTACAACACAATCAACAGCTACTTTCCGTTGCTGGGGTCACAGTCACAAAGAGACAAAGAGGGAGGAGCACAGACTGAGAAAAGAAAATAAGATTGAGAGACAGAGGAAGAAACTTGGCAAAGGCAGAACTCACCTGCTCCACGGACAGGACATGAGCTCGTAAAGAACATGCCTATACTCCCGGTTTCCCTGGAAACAATATACACATGCGGTCAAGCCAAAGACATAATAGAATTTAATAGAGTAGACAGTGCCTCTCGGCTGCAGGAAAACATATGGGCATGCAGAGCTTGTGCACACATCGGACAGAAGAAAAGCAAATAAAAAGCAGGCATTCCTACTGCTCCCCCAGGACCCTATGTTTTCTCCCACTTCCGATGCAGAGAGGGGTAAGAACACGTGGCTAACCTGTTATCCTGTGCCTCTGGGTTTTGTAGGTTACAATATGTGTTTGTGATTATGCTGGCGAATAAACATTTGTTTGAGGGTCTTCAAGACACTGCTGTTGTTTTTTTAAATTCACCAGCTGATGTGTGGTGCTGTGTTTTGGTGGCATGCTTGATTTTGAAAAAAGGAAATATCACATGACCCTCTGGTGGAGAGAATGTGTGTAAAGATAAGATAGAGAGAGCTTTTATATTCGTCCCGCAGTGGTGAAATTTGCGTGTACATGAAATGCCTGTGTAAAAAATTCTCAAGATCAAGTTTAAAGGCCTAAATTTAATACATATTTTGAAGTCCATAGAAAGCTGAGCAAGTGTGACCAACAAATGTCCCTAAAAGACACAGGCCTATCTTACATCCAACATTTCACTCAGTCCACATCTCTGCTTTGTAACTCCTTGGGACACATCTGGATCCGAAGGACGCCGCGAAAACGAAAAAAAAGTCTGAAAGGCGAATGAGCGATGACGCAAGAGCGAGGCACGGAGAGCGAGAAGCAGCGCAGCGAGATTGTTATTACAAACCACATTCCTTCCATTTTAATCACCTTGGTTTGAACAGCGGGCCCGCTCCCGCCGCGCTCGTAACGTTGATCCCACCGCTGGAAGTGGCGAATCTGTGCGAGAAAATATGAGCTGTCAAAATGTTGGCGAAGACAAGGCCCCCTAGAGCTTCCTCTTGGTGCTTTGTCCCCACGAGCGCGACGAGAGCTCCACATCATGCTGTGCGCTAAAGGGATATACCCACCGGGTCAGGGCAAAGGTTAGGGGGTAAGACTCCACCAGCACCACCCGTCCTGGAGAAGGGAAAAAGCTAATAGAACGGTTTACAAGTAAATAATGGCATGACTTAATGAAACAAGTGGGATAATGTAAGATTATAGAATAAACACAGGATGGGTTACACAGTGCCCCCATGTGAGCAGCATTCTTCTCTCACTGTTTGGGCGGCCTACGGCCAAACAGTACGGCAGTGTACCCGTCCTTCTGGAGTCCGTGGGAGAGGTACAGGATAGTGCCCCCCCAGGACTCCTGGGGTGACTTACGCCCGTGACACTTGGAGGTGAGCAGGAATAGCAATCGGAATCTGGGCGTGTGTTTCAGTTATTTGACTTCTATGCACAGTCTGGTCTCTAACCAACACCATGTGTTTAGCGCAAGGAGCAGAAGCCTGTCCACCACTCAACGTGGCTCCAGGACTTCCTGGCGGAGGTCGGTGCGACGCCTTAGTGTTGTGTCCATCTACCTTCTGGCCCCGTTCTCGGGACACTGGGTAAAGGAGAAGCGGAGCTGTCAGACCGATCAACCACCCGTTGGTGAGTTTTTGGATCCGCGGCAGAGAGGAAGTCGGTTCAGGTGGAGCTTAAACAGTGCATGAAATGACTGTTTGGGCAGCGCATCTCGGTTCCAGGAGTGCCATTATATACAGTACATATGCTTCAAAGGTCTTGTTTTCACGGAATACACGGTTTACACTTGCAGCATATCATTCTCTAAGCTGGAGGATAGCGATGCTTTATGCAAGAGATCCGTCCTTTGCTTTTGTGCAAAATGTTGTGCTTGCAATAGACTTTAATTATATTGAGCATTTATTTTGCTAATTGTTAAACGTTTCCAAAGTAAGTAAGTAAGTCAGTAAGTAATGTTTATTTAAATACCGGCTTTCCACAGACAAGCGGTCACAAAGCGGTATACAATGATATTATTTTTTTGGCCTTTGTCCTCTCACTCCAGACCGAGATGGGAGTGGGTCGCCGAACAGGAGGCGCATGCCAGACCTATTGTACATATTTTTAGTGGTAGGGGAAACCGGAGTACCCGGAGGAAACCTACACAGACACGGGGAGAACATGCAAACTCCACTCAGAAAGGCCCTGGTCTGGCCGGGATTTGAACCCAGGACCTTCTTGCTGAGAGGCGAGAGTGCTACCCACTCAGCCACCGTGCCGCCCAAAAACAATTTAGAGGAAAAAATATTAAAATGGGAGAAAACTGCTCTGTACATGACGTGTGAGGAGTGTTTAGACGGAGAGGGTGGGTAAATGGTTATGCCAAAAACATCCCCAGTCGTTGTTTGATTAATTGAAAGATAAAAACAACTATATAAAAAATAACGTCCTTTTAGTCCATTTCCCCCGCATTTCTTCTTTCATTCTTCACTTTAAGCAATCACATCTTGTTGCACGTTTATCCCTCAAACACACGAGAACCACATGTGAGAGGACCACGACAGGTGCTATGCGTCCCAATCTGAGAAGTGGGTGTAAAAATGACTTGTTGGCTTTTCCGTTTGGGGCCCGCGGGACGGTTGCGGGCTCGGGAGGAGTGGCAGTCGGGTGCATGTGACCCATATGGCTTCAAGGAGGCCGGTGGGAGAAGTCGTGGACGGGCTGGCGGTGCTGGGTGATGGAAGTCAGAGGTCGAGTGGGGGGAATGTGTGCTCCGGAGGGCCTGCCTGAACACAGAGCCTAATGTGTGAGAACAGTCACGGGTCCTGCAGAGAGATGAGGGATAGAGCAGCTATAAAGGCGCCGCTGTGGCCTTCATGTAACCCAGACCATCTGTCAGAAACACAACCATTATCAGTGTACATGTCATCCCTTTAACATGATCTTGAGGAAGTTGGGGGGGTAGGAGGTGCGATGGTTGTAGGGGGAGGAAAGAGGCGGAGGTCAGGTAGAAAAGATATTAATTATATTGGGACTAGAAGTTGGGTGGGGGGGAGTTAATGTTTATTTGAATGTGAACGCTCCCATACAGTGGTAGAAAGGGGAATTACTTTGGGTATGTCAAATATAAGACATGATCAACTTACAGGCAACGCAATAATCTAACATAATTCCCCAAAAATAAATGATAAAAAGGGGGTAGAGAGCGCGCGCGCTGAGAGAGCGTGAGCGTAGAGCGATATGCGACTGATGATAATTGCGTGGTACTTGTTTGGTATTCAGAAAAAGTCTCACGGAAAGAGTAACTAAAAGAGACCAACCTTGGCATAAGAACATGTTTTCACATTTATCATTTTAGCAGTGGTCTAAGAACAGAAACGGGCGGATTTACGTCAAAATAGGAAGGACAGTGCATGGTTTTTTTACGATTTTGTCAGATATGTGGATAGGGCTGATTTTTGCATCATTTCTCTTGTACACAAAACTTTTTTAAACAAAGTTTTGTCATAAATAAATCTTGTGGATCAAAGCTGGTCTTGTGGAAATGTGTTTCGTTTTCTTCTAAAAACAGAAAGTAACAAGCTCCCATCCACACACCAAACAGCTTGTCATGCAGCGCTGGAACTGGGGGAGTGGTGCGGCGATGATAGGCTGCCTTGGGACGGGGGACTCTCCACAGAGCCAGGGCCCTCTCCTGTCGGCTCGGAAGAGAAGCGCAGGGCAGGATTTACTGTTGGGGTCCTGACATGTACACATTCCTGGAGTTTGTTTTTCTCCCCACTCGAAGCGTACGCGGGCCGTCTAGAAACAGACAAGCCTGTCATGTTGTGGACAGCTGCTTCAAACGGCTCCTGGGCCAGGTTCCGCAGGCAGACCGACTCTGCGATTGGACAAGTGTTTGATTTGGCCTCAGTGCGCAGATGTGGACTATCGGCAAAAGAAATTCCCTCATAACGCTGAATGCACCTTGGGTGTTGGGGGCGAGATCTGTACCTCCTGATGTCATCTATGGTGGTGGGTGGCAGTGGACGCAGGGGGTGGGGGAGAATGAAAACAACTGTTTCCAAGATTCAAGAATGTATTTGTCTTTTGCAGTAAAACCACATTGGAAAACTAAGCAAGACTACCCCAGTCTGCACCAGATGGTACACACAAGATCTTTGGGGCCACGAGTCGGGGTGCGCGAGGGGGGTGTGGGGGATTGGAGGATGTGAGAGTGGGAACATAGGCCAATGTGATTATTTGTGAATTTCATCATTGGGGTAACGGTTAACTGCACTATAGCACCCCAAATACACAAGCAAATAAATGTACGCCCACGGTAGGGGGAAGGTAGTGGGGATGGGGGGGGGGCAAACGTAGGTTTAGTTTGTGGGATTTTGTTGGGGGGGGGGTATCGGGGGGGTTGGGAGTTAGTGTTGGGTTTTGTGTTTTGGGTTAAGGGTTTTATATATGTGGGGTTGGGTTTTTGTTATTGGGTGGGGGTGGGGGGGGGGGTGGGGGTGGGGGTGGGGGGGGGGGGGGGGGGGGGGGGGGGGGGGGGGGGGTGGATGTGATGAGTAGGTTGGGGTGGGGGGGTGAGAGTTACATGTCGTACGGGAGAGGATTGTTTGACTGTTTGTAATGTACAGTTTTATATTTTGATGAATTCTACAGCATGATATTAGGTAAAACATATAATGGAATCCAAACAGCATCGTGCTTCATCCAACCAGGGGGGGGGGGGCTGTTTTGATAACGGTTATTGGTGTGGGGGGGGGAGTAGGGGATTTTTATTTGGTGGGGGGGGATATGGAATTTTGTTTGTTTTGTTGTTTTGGGGGGATGGGATTTGGGGTTTGGGATAAATATGGGTATTGTTTGGTATATGAAAAGAATAGGTGAGGCGACCTGCACTTTTAAATAAACCTTAAAGCCGTGGCCGGCGACCCGTGTGCCGGGGCGCGTGGGGGGGCGGGGGCGCCGCGGCGGTGGTGGGGCGCTTGAGGGCCGGGGGGCATGGGGGGGGGCGGGGGCGGGTGGGGGGGGGCTAGGGGGGGGGGAGTTGGGAGGGGGCGGTGGAGGAGGGCGACCGTGGGGGTGTGGGGGGGGGGGACGGCACAGGGGCGGGCGCCGAGGGGGGTCCGCGGTGGAGGGGGGGTGGGGGTGGGGAGGGCCGGCCGCAGTGGGCCCGGAGGGGCGGCGTGGGTGCTGCCCAGTTGGCCTGGGGGCGGGGGGGGGCGGGGGTGGTGGGGGACCCGCAGGGGGTGGGTCGGGGGTTGAGGGCCGCGTGGGGTGGGGGGTGGGTGGGTGGGTCTGGGGTGTAGGGGGTTGGGTGGGGGGGGGGATGGTGGGGGGGGTGGGGGGGGGGGGGTTGGGGGGGGGGGTGTGGGTTCGAGTTGGGGGGGGGGTAGGGGGTGGGGGGGGGATGGGGGGGGGGGGGGGGTGGGTGGGGGTGGCGGGGGGGGCTGGTGGTCTTGGGGGGGCGGGTGGGTGGGGGGGGGGGGGGGGGGGGGGTGTGGGGGGGGGGCAGGGGCTTAGTTGGAAAGGTTTAATGGGGAAATGTGGATGACTCATCGACCAACGTGACATGTGACCACCAGTTTCAGTATCCCCATGGGGGAGTGTCGCATCATTTTGCTGTCCCTTCGAGTGCGTAAGCAAGTGTATAGTATGCAACCACACTGCACTAAAGGACACATGTTTGAGGCAAGCTATGTTTTTAGTCTGGTCGTTATATGGCCATAATTTCTCAAAGAGGGATATGGAATAAAATAATAATAAAAAGTCCGTTATCCAATCCATTTATTTATATTTCACATAAAATAAGTGCAGATAAAATAACACGTCCAAATATATCCAGGATGTATAAGCTGGTATCCAAGGACAGGCCCGATATTACCAAGCCCTCCAACACCATAGCCACACAACGCACTTAACAAGCACCTCTCAAGCCCAATCACAACACCACGCCCCCACCCCCCCCAAAATACTGATATTACGACATCAGGGCCGGGTGGGCGGGGGGAAGGTGAGGGGGGGGGGGGGGGGGGGGGGGGGGGGGGGGGAGGGGTGGCGGGGGGGGCGGGGGGTCGGGGGGGGGGCGAGGGGGGGGGAGGGGGGGGTGGTGGGGGGGGGGGGGGAGGGGGGGGGGGGGAGGGGGGGGGGGGTGGGAGGGGGAGGAGGGGGGGGGGGGGGGGGGGGGAGGGGGAGGGGGGGGGGGGGGGGGGGGGGGGGGGGGGGGGGGGGGGGGGGGTGGGGGAGGGGACATAAACCTAGTATTGGGTTAATCCCCCACTCTGCCTGTGAAGAGGAGAGCTGAGGGTGTGGCTCGCAGGAGGTACCGGAGGACACGGGCTGGACATGGTAGGAGGGATCGGGCCTGACTGCAGGAGCTAAAGGAGGCCAGCTGCGGGTCGAGACTAACATGAGCTCCCGAGGTCAAGTGAGGCTGCTTCAAAGCCCCGGGCAATGCCACAGTGACACACCGGCAACGGGACCGAAGCAGCGTTTACTCTGCAGACTGTAATTGACGTGGAGAGCTAAATATCACCCTGCGCTCGCGATGAAGCACAATGGTATACATCCACCCTCAACAGACACCCAAAACTAAGGCTTTTAACATATTTAGGGGGGTGCGGGAGGGGGGGGGGGGGAGCAGGGCGGGGGACGGAGGGGAGGGGGGGAGTGGGGGTAGGGGGTGTGTGGATTAAAGTGGGGGGTGCTATGGTTGTGGAGGGTGAGGGAAGGGGTTGTTGGTTGTGATGGTTTTGAAGTGGATATAGGGGTATGGGTTTGGGGAAGGGTAGGTTTGTTGTTTAATGCGTGAGCTTATATCTACATGTAATGCTTTGTGTGTTCAATTTGGCCCCATGTTGAGCTGGGCTTGGTGATTTAAACTTGTGGCCAGATACACAGTTAAGTAAGGTGAAAGTATTATTTGGTAATAGCGGCATTACCCGAAAGCGCAGGATCCACAAAGCAGGGGGGGGGCGGGTGTCAGCGGGGGGGGGGGGGACATGTAGTAACAAATAAAAAAGAGGGATAGAGATTATTGTTATTTTTGGTGGGGGGGGGTTTATTTTTAATGGAAAAACACAGTTTGCACAATTCACTAGGCCTAATGAACAGTGAGCGAGAAAGCCTGCCTAACCAAATGAGATTTAGCGTTAGTACTGTAAAAATCATCGACAAGTCGTCTACACGGACGCGGCAGAGCACCAGGGGCCGGCGACATTCCAACAGGGCGGACACCTGCCTGGAAGGAACTGACACACCCAGACAAGATGGGAGGGGGGAGAGTGGATGGTGTGGGGGAGGGGGAGGTGCGGGGGGGGGGTGGTGGGGGGTGGGGGGAAGGAAAGGAGCGGGCAGAGGGGGGTGGTGGGGATATAGGAAGTTTGGCGATGGGGGTGGAGTGGTGGGAACTGGTCAGCTGGGGAATTGCTGGGGGGAGGGTAGGGGGCGGTTACATTTAGATTGTTTGTGGATAAGAATTGGGTTGGGTGGAGGATTGGGGGGGGGTTTGGTTGTGGTTTGGGATTAGGGGGGTGTGAGAAGGAAGGTTGGGGGTTAGGTGTGGAGTGATGGGGGTTTGGGGGTTGGGGGTTAAAAAATTATGACACCGGGCCACCCTGTGCTAAAGTAAACCTAGCTGTTAGTTGAAGGGAGGTACTCTAGCGACGTCAGGAAGAGTGTACAAATGTTGGGGGGGGCACGTGAACAGAGACAGTTCAATTCATTGGAACCCTGAGTGATATAGAGCCAAGGGGGGGGGGGGGAGGGGCGGGGGGGTTAAGAGAGGGGGGAAAACTACCAATAAATGATCTAATCTCACTTACTGGGAGAAATCTATTGTAAAAATAACTAAGATATCTGCAGGTAAGGCTATGGACTATTCGGGTTAGACCTGAGGATTGACCACTCCGTCTGAAGACCCAGAATGACCCACTGGGGCACAATAGGAGAAATGTGGGCACTCCTGTGGGGAGCGGGTCAAAAGCCTCGGCGAGTCAGAATTTTGAACGACTATCAGGTTTTGTGATGTTACTTCATTTCTCCAGTGTAGAGATAAATATGAATAATGTGTTGCATAATCATTTTCTAGCATGGGTGTCATGGCAGGGATTCGGATAAGCCAAGGAATAAATGGTGCATGGCAAAGAAGGCACAACTCAAAGGTAATAAACAGTCAGACGAGACCGCCCAACAAGGAAACTACTGACTGACAAGTGAAAATCTTTCGGTTCCATAAAGAGCTTTTTGTAAAGTATAACAGGGATACCGCTTCAGTTATTGGAGCTGATTGAGCGAAACTGGTATGAATGGAACGCCGACACAGCACCCGGGAAAGTAGGAACCAGACTGACCCCCGGGTACCTGTAAAACTCACCCACGACCTACAGGCAACAGATTAACAGTTGGCCATTTACACAATAAAACCCCAGATTGGGCGACCCATGTCCCACACGGTTCAAGAAGTTGAGCACCATATAAGAGCCCCTGGAATATCAAATAACCTCCAGAACAGACCGCCACAGTCCATTAATGGGGATGGTGGGGGCGGGAGGAGAGGGTGGGTGGCCTGGGGGGGGGGGGGGGGGGGGGGGAGCACCTTGGGGTTTAAGGGGGGGGGGTGGGGATATGCCCCTTTTCGTTGCCTGTGATGTTAGCCGGAACATCACATCCCACAAAACAACATCGAGCAAGGGGGAGGGTGGGGTTGGTGGGTGGGCAGCGGGGGGGGGGGGGGGGGGGGGGGTGGGGGGGGGGTACTAATATAGTAAGTGAGTAATCCTGTATTTATATAGAGCCTTTTCACGTAAACGCATTACAAATGTGGGCATTTGTCCACTCACATTCGCACAACAGAAGAGAGGGAGCGGGTTTGCCGTACAGGAGCGCCTGCCAGAGCCTATTGTCGACTCCAGAAAGGCCGTAGCGTACCGAAACTCTTTGGGCGGCAACGCGACGGCCTGTCTCAGTGCCATTTTACCCTGTGAAGGGCCCACAATAAGAAAAGTTCGATGGGTCAAAAATCCGTATTCATATTTTATGCAATATCGGGTAAGACATTCGGAGGGGGTGGGGGGGGAGGGGGGAGGGGGAGGGGGGGGGCTGGATGGGGTTGGTACTGGAAGGGTGGGGTGGGGGTGAGTGGGTGGGTGGGGCAATGGGGGGGTAGGGTGTTGTGTATAGCTCTAAATCACAGCGGTAGTTATCTGGGAGGACAGGATCATAAAAATCAAACCAAATGGGTCCCATCAGTGGGCCGAAGAGCCGAATGCAAAAAATCTTGATTAAAGTCCCTAAATATATCGTAGAAGAGTACGATGTGGCCTGGATCATCTCCACTGTCCTTGGACCCCGATCCTCGTAGACGGCAAGGGAACACCACTCACCTTTTGGAGTTTCAAATAATTGATCTTCGCAGAGGGGGGGGTGGGCTTGGGGGGGGGGGGGGAGGAGCTGGGGGAAAACCCCAAAAAGAGTGGGGAGGGGAGGGGCGGGTGGTTGGGGGGGGGTGGGGCGGGGGGGGTCCACAATGGGGCTTGATACCCGGGTGGGTGGGGGGGGGAAGAATGCGGCAAATCCTAAGTGTTCCGCCCCTCCAGTAAGACATTCAGCGTGTTTGGAGCTCTGAAGTGCACTTAGGGGGAGGGGGGGGGGGGGGGGGTGGGGGGGGGGGGTCGCGGGGGGGGGTCCTCTGCCAGGCCTTTTTATGGTTAGCTTGAGTTGCCTTTACATCAACAGGTTAGCCCCATCTGGGACGATTGGAAGATTGCACGGGCGTAACCAGTACATCGTGGGGGCGCGCTCGGTTATGTCGTGAGGGGGGGGCGAGGGGGGGTGGGCTCGATGGCGGGGGAGGGGGGACCGGGGGGGGGGGGGGACAAAGCACATCGCAATCGGGAAAAACATCGGGGAGCGGCTCATGTGGGACACTTCCCCAGGGAGGTCCGCAGAAATGGGGGGAGGGGAGCGACGGACAACGGGGAGCAGAGGGTAGGGGGACATTTACTCTAGCCGTATACGGTAGGCAGAGAGGATGTGACGGGGGAGGGGGGGGAGGATAGGAAATATTGGATTATTGAGAAAAAAACACCCCAGTCCATTTGGTATGTAAATTTTTTTTAAAAACCATATATTTTGTCTTTTTGTGATTTAGAATGCAAACTGAGTTGTGATACAGGGGAACGGATAGAAGAATGGCGGCGGATGAGAGGAGGGGCGGAGGGGGATCCAGACACACAGAAAGAAAGGGGAATTTAATTATACTTCTTCGCCTCTAACATGGGTACGATCCAGTTCAAGACAATATAGTAGTGTCATTTGACAGAACTTTGGCTAAAACGCTATTTTTTGTTTCGTCCTCAAGACCAGACACAAGACAGAATATTGGGGAGGATAGTTACAGAACTGGGTTAAGATCACAAACAGCCAAGTAGATAATCATGACAAAGAACACAAGGAATGATTATTAGCAAATCCCCCACATCCAACCAGAGTGAATAAAGCTTACCACCAGTCACGTGTTGTTTATAACCTAATCCAGTTGTGTACCTCACACTTTTGGATGAGCAAATAGCGAACAACCAATCTATCATAAAAGCACACAGCCGTGCAAATCGAAGTCACCCACATCATTTTTTTGTGTAAATTCTTGAGGTGTGGGGAGTGGGTTGGTTGGGCGGGCACATTATGGGGGGGGGGGGGGGGGGGGTAGTCGAGCGGGGGGGGGCGGGGGGGGTGGGGTGGCGGAAAAAAGTGTTTAGAAGTGTGGTGAATGTGGGTAAAGCTAGGGGGGGGGGGGGGGATTGTGGTTAAGGAATTTGCCTTTGATTTTGTTCGGTGACGTTGGGTTGTGAGAAAGTATTACTTAAGAAACACAATTTATCTATGTACATTTTTTGTCATTACCCGGTTAGTTTACTCTTATGATTGCCACTGAAATTGTATCGGCAGGGATGCATAGTCGGAAATGGTGGTAACTCGCTGGGGCAAGTTTGTCTTGGTTTAGCTTTCTGCACTGAGCGCTGGTTGTTTTGCGCATGTGCAGGTCACTATGTGTCGAGTAAAAATTAAGATTTAAAACACAGATGTCATTAGCTGTGGTGCCATGTCCATGTGCCATGCTTGGTTTATTTCAATCCAAAATATTTCCCCTCTCCGTTTATAAAATAAATTTGCAGCACACATTGCGTTTATCAAGCACATTCAAACATGTGCGTGGTCTTACGTTCTGTCCGGCGTTGGGGAAAAAAACAGAAGTAGGGCGGAGTTCTGTGGCAGACGCCGTAACGGCACTTTTACTGTCCGAGAGACATCAGAGTAAAGACGGTATGTTTACATGCACTGGACCCCGTCCTCAGCACTGGTAGTTGTCCTGGTTTGTCTGGTTAGTCCTGGTTTAGTCCTGGTTTAGTCCCGGTTTAGTTGTTTTCAAGGTGAGTCCGCGATCACTTTGTGCTCTCTGATGTGGCGGCGGTGCGCGCTCCGAGCATCTCACAGTGAACAGTTTTTAAGGTTGTTTGATCCATGCCTTCAGTGATCAGAGGAATTTGGGGGGTCTTGTGGCGTGCGAGAACGGGGCAAAACTCGATTATTCTGGTATACACACAAATGCATTAACGGAGTTTTCAAAATTTAGAATGTGTAATTTTTTCATTTATTATTGGATTACCAATACTACCTTTGCGTGAGTCGACTGGTAGATGCGATCGACTTATTGAGCACCCCTGGTATAAAAACTGTGTGCTTACAATGTAGGAACCGGGGTTCGATCCCGCAGAGTTATGTCTTGTGGTATTTATTGCATGTTATCAAGTCTATGAACAGATTGCTCTAAAAACGGTAAAGATGAATGGTATGACGTTTTTGTGCAGAATTATAGATTAATTGTAAAATAATCATTTTAGACATGTACCCCAATTAAAATAATGTTAGTCTCTTTTTGATGTGGAACTTTTATCATGTTGGTCTAAAAAATAGGGAATAAAATAAAATGGTAAGGTTATATCCTCTTGAGCAAACCCTCATGATGTAGATACGTGAGAAATACGTTCCAACATCATTCTTCCCACTCCTATTTTGGACATCAATTTTTATATATTTTGCATAAATTATGTCTAATTACATTGCTTTTATTTTAGCGTCGCCAAAGCTATTTTCTCACGGAATCTCTGTTGTTCAGTATTACAGCATTTTCCCGCAGCATAAAACAAAACATTATAGATAGGACAGAGAGCAGGGATCGGTAACGACACACACACGAGCGTAAGCGCCACACACACACGCACACATGCGCGCGCTTATGGGGGAAGCAACCAATGACTGTTTTCAGCTGCTATCTTTGTTGTTTTTGGTGTTTTGTGCTATTGTTCAATACATATCTAAAATAATTTAACCTTTATTGACTGATCAAATAAGAAGATAAGCTTTATTAATCACAAGGCGACATATAAATGTCACATTTGGATGGATAAAACACTCCAAGAATTGTGAAAAAATAAAGAAATGAGAAAACATGTTAATGCAGGAATATATAAATTGCATGAACTGCGTTTGTTTAATTTGAAAATAGCTTCTATATTGAGAATGAGGAGTTGACGTCACGGCACCGAGTCCCTCCCCATCCCCTTTTGCCGACATATTGCTTGCGACCGGTTGGCGGCAGTACAGTTGTTTAGGTGTGTGAACGCGGTAGTAGCGGAGGTTCTTGCTATTCCGCCCCCCCCCCCAGGTTTATCATGCTTGGAAATAAACTGCTTGCGTTAAACTGCTACAAGACATCCTCGTGGATATGGAAAACCTCAGTAACAACGGGATAAACCGTTTTTTAGGTACCGAAATGGAAAAAGATCAAGGGGAGAATTCTTTGACTGACAAGGAGGTCGGAAAGTTGTTGGTTGGCTGCCATTAGAAGAAAGGGACCTTACTTTCGTCAACACCCCTTGTCGACGGAGAGTTTTGGTCTCTGCATTTCACTCTGGTTACGTTCACTTAAAAATGTATTTATGTCTGTTGTCTCTTAAAGCTAGGAAGTGTGTTAGGTTTAGCTATGTTATTTTGGTTTCTGTAGTGCTTTGTCTCTGTTTGTCTTTGTTACCTTGGTGTTTTTACTTAGCACGTGTTCTGTGGCGAGTTCTTTGCCAGTGAAGCTTAGTTTACATAGATTGTACTCATAATCTAAATATTCTGTTGTACAATAAACCTTCCTAGACTTATGAAGGTGACCTAAAAAGTACTGAGGAATGTCTGTTCATGACATAGTTGACAGTATAAAGCATATTGATTACATAGATTGGGCAAATTTTTATATTAACTTATATGTTGTTAATATTCTCGTGTAGGTAAACCAGCATATGAGATGTTGGAGAAACACCCTGACTGGACAAATCCTGTTGTTAGGCCACAAATGATGTACAAAAAACAGATGAAGCGAGTATCAGCGGCAATAAGGCGAGTCCTGCCAACTGGAGCGGCAGCCACCTCCAGCCCACACCAGCCGCAGGCGCCGCGCCTCCAGCCTAGACAGGGCAGCGCCACCAGCCCTGGGACAGCTGCCAGCCGCCACCAGCCCAGAGACCGCCGCAGCGCGCCGCACAGCCCTAGCCCAGCGATGCGCCGCCGCACCAGCCCTAGACCAGCCGCAGGAGCCGCTCGCCGCCAGCCTAGACAAGCCGCCAGCTGACGGACATGGAATGTGGACTTGCACATCTAGACGAGATGTTTTATCAACAATCTTCTTGAAGAAAACAGGACAGCTGGAAGCGTGAGCTTG